CGGGGCCCCCCCCCCCCCCCCCCCCCCCAACAAAAATACACACACATATATATGATCATGATTTTTTGCTATGATTTAATAGGCCCATTTTCGGACACCAATCACTAATATAGTTTCAGCAAATGAATTCAAAGCAATAACAAAAAAAAAAAACCTAGAAATGTTGGGCCATAATTAGCCAATCACCTTGATAAACAAACAAAAATTAAAAACCACCAATATTAATCATACATATATATATGTGTGTGGTTCAAGGGTTAGAAGTGTTCGGACTTGCTTACGCACACTCAACTAATCTCTTTCTTTAGATCAAAAACAAGTTATCTAAGCTGAGACAAGGGTATTTATGAGAGATAATTCATTTATAACATAACTTCAAAAGATTATCAAGATTTAAACTCAAAACGTCTGAATTTATAACTTATCTTTGTTACTACTTGAACTACTATTGAATTGAAGATTTACCATTTTCAAAGGTCTCAACTCACCCCTTAACTTAATTAGATTAGATTGTTACAAAATGGGTGGAACATGATTACTGAGGACCAAAGGATTCTAATTACAAGGGCTCATATACTTCTCTCCATGCAGTAATCTTAATTATGGAGAAGAAAGGAAAGTAAGGAATCCAAATTATCAATCTTAAAAACTTGTAAAAATGCTTACCGGTCACCAACAGTCGTTATTATGACAAAGTACAAGTAAACGACCGTCAATGTCAAGATTTTACTTAATTATATTAGATTGTTACAAAATTAGTGGAATATAATTAGTGAGGACCAAAGGATTCTAATTACAAGGGCTCATATACTTCTCTCCATGCATTAGTCTTAATTAGAGAGAAGAAAGGAAAGTAAGGAATCCAAATTACCAATCTTGAAAACTTGTAAAAACGTTTAATGGTCACCAACCGTCGTCGTTGTGATAAAATACAAGTAAACGACCGCCAATGTCAAGATTTTACTTCTTTAAAACTTATAGGAGCATCTTAATTGCGTTATCATTAATTATCTCATCATTGTAGTGAAAGTTTTATATTCTAAACTTGTAAATTTTAATGAAATTTCTATATCCTTGCAACTTTTAATTCTTTTTGACCTAAAATAACATATAAAGCACATACAATCCACATACAAAATCATCATGTTATTGGGTGACAAGAAAGAGCATCATAGTAATTTATTCGGTAACAGAAATGGATCGTAAAATTTAAATATTCTATGTTCGAGGACGTTCGAATATTAGTAATTTTTTAGAGTCAAGACATGATAATTTTATTTTTTATGAATTTCATAGTTTCGACATTGATAACCTTTTATTAATTAAATTTGAGAAAAAATTAATCCAAATATAATTTGAGCATTGAAAAATAAATAAATAAATTAATTAATTGAGAAGGAGCACCATTGGACTGCCGAACTGTATTTTAAAGGTAACTCCGGTTCAAAGAGAGAGGTCACATACAGTGTGTTGCACTGGTATGGTATCAAATTGTAGAGGAAATGTGTCACTTTAAAGTGGGGTTAAAAAATGTGGGGTCCAGAACCCTAAGACTTGTCTTTATAAACTTCGACGATATACCCAATGTCTCAATCACTCACACGCCCATTAAGTATCCTACAATACACAGTAATAGGCTCTGTGTTCATAGGACCCCTGTCCTCTTCAATCCCATTTGACAGTGTCATCACTCTCCACCGTTGCGCGTCAACACAAGCCTTTTAAATCTCGACTCCCTCTCTTGATAGCAACATCTCCCCCAAAAATCTTCTCTCTCTCTCTCCCCTTCTCTTTCGTTGCCAATATAGACACTGGACATTTTTCAAGAGAATTCTCCTCCTCTCTTTCTTTGTCTCTCTCTCCCGAGAACTTTTTTCCTCCGTCTCCCCTGGTTTTATTTTCCTCTGTGGACTGGAAAGTGGGGTTCCTTCATGTTGGATTAGTTGCAGCAAGAAGAAGAGAAGAAAAAACCCATCACCAAAACCATCTTAGCAAAGTGCCAAAAACCAATTTTACCACAGAAAAAACCCCCCAATTGAAATGTATTTTTGGTGTTGTTTCCAATCTATGAACAGAAAATACCCAAAACCCATGAACTAGTGTTGTAGAAGAGACAAAGGACAAGAGATAGAGAGAGAGAGAGAGAGAGAAGAGAAGCAATCAAACAAGTTTGTTTTGATAATCATCATCACCATGAGACCTGTTCAACCACCACCAGCCGCCACAGCCAATAGCAGCCGTCCACGGCGGCGTCCAGACCTAACCCTACCCCTCCCTAACCGCGAGCCATCTCTGGCCGTACCCCTCCCTTTACCACCTGGCTCCGCCCCATCATCTTCAACCAACTCCTCTCAACTTCTATCATCAGCGCAACCGTTGAACTTCTCCGAACTCGAGCGCATCAGCCGAATCGGTAGCGGCAGCGGCGGAACCGTATACAAAGTCCTCCACCGGCGGACAGGCAACCACTACGCCCTCAAAGTCATCCACGGACACCATGACGATTCCGTCCGGCGCCAGATCTGCCGTGAAATCGAGATCCTCCGCGACGTCAACAATCCCACGGTGGTAAGGTGCCATGACATGTCTGATCGCAACGGCGAAATTCAAGTCCTCCTGGAGTATATGGACGGTGGATCACTTGAAGGAAAACACATCCAACACGAACCCTCTCTCTCAGATGTCACCCGTCAGATCCTCACCGGGCTTTGCTACCTCCACAAACGAAAAATAGTCCACAGAGACATCAAACCCTCGAATCTCTTAATCAATTCAAGAAAACAAGTCAAGATCGCAGATTTTGGGGTTTCTAGAATTCTTGATCAGACTATGGATGCTTGTAATTCCTCGGTGGGTACGATTGCGTATATGAGTCCTGAAAGGATCAACACGGATCTGAATCATGGGAAGTATGATGGGTTTGCTGGGGATATTTGGAGCTTAGGAGTTAGCATCCTTGAGTTTTATCTGGGTCGATTTCCGTTTGCTGTGGGAAGGCAAGGTGATTGGGCAAGTCTCATGTGTGCAATCTGTTTTGCGCAGCCTCCTGAAGCACCGCCGACGGCGTCTAGGGAGTTTAGGGAGTTCATCGCTTCTTGTTTGCAGAGAGATCCGGCCCGGAGGTGGTCGGCGGCGCAGTTGCTACGCCACCCTTTCATTGTGCAACACAGCCTTAGCAACCATGGCAGCAATCAGGTTCATCAGCTACACCAACTTTTACCTCCACCCCCACATTTTTCTTCTTCTTGAATTTCATTTTCTTGTCTCTTTTTTCCCAACAATTTGTGTAATTTCCCAGAATTATATGATGGTTGGGGGTAGTGTTCGTTGCTGGGATTTGGTTTTAGGAGAATGAATTGAAGACATGGTAAAAGAGGACTCAGGTTACTTTCAATTCATTGATCAATCAATCAATCAATCTTGTGTTCTGATAATGCTTTTGGTAGAAAAGGAAAAATCTTATCTTTTTAGGATTGGCCCAACTTTCTGGTTTTATATATTTTTTTTTCCTCTTGTATTAGGAAAAATTGGAGGGCCTGGATGTTGAAGTTAAATTTTTGGTAATTCCATTTCTTTTTCTTCTTTTGTTGATCTTGCATTGATGGAATGAAATCAAAATTGAATCTTTCTCTTGGTGAACTCATAATCCATGGCTCTCTAACTATTGATCATCATCAAAATAACTTGGAGAAGGGAGGGATAAAAGTTCAGAGTCGTATCGTTGACATATGACATTAGTAACGAATTAGAAACCATCAAATAAGGCCAAAGAACTTGGTTATTCCGGTAACCCACTATTCACAATCATATCTAATAACTATCATTAAATGAGATTCACTTAAGTGAATTTGTCCATTTTTTGTTGGTTAGTAATACTATTTGTCAATGACTATGTTGTATCAATATTGTTTTTTTTTCTCCTTGGAAAATTGATGTTCTGTTTAGTTTGTATTTCAAAAAAGTATTCCGAAACTTTTTTTGAATTTTTTTTAAAAAAAATTGTGTTTTTTGGGGCGCAAAACTTCTTTAATTATATGATTTAAAAAACAATTCTATAAAATAGAAAACTTGTTTGAATAGTAATCTAAAAAATAATGAAAACATAAATATGGTGGTGGTGGTGATTGTGAAAGTGTGGTGGTGTTTTTTAAATTTTGGAAATTTTGTTTTCAAAATTATATAAAACAGTCCTAATTTGTTTTCTAAATTTACGTATTTTTTGTTCTCTCGGCCAATTATTCTCCCAAAAATTATTTTTGAAAATAAAAAAAAAAACAGTTTTTGAGATGAAATTAAAACAAAACCATTTGCATACATGATTTCTTTTCCTAGAAGTTAGAATCCTTATCTTTCCACTGAAGAATGTTGCATGTTGGATTGGAATCTTCAGCACTACATTGAATTGCATTTTTTATAGCCTCATAATTAGCTAGAACAGTGTTTTATTTGAGTAGGATTCGGTTGGATTTTTCAGAAGATTTTATACGCAAATGTGGAGAAGGAAACTCTTTTCCATTTAATTTTCTCTCTTTATTGGGTATTGGGTGGACTTCCCAATAATGACATGTTAACAGTACGGACATGTGAGACCATATGGTATCCTTTTCCTTTTCCTTTTCCTTTTCCAGTGAGATCACACCCTTCTTGTCTTCTCCACCATACGCATTACTTTATCCTCTGTCACAGCCACAGCCACAGCCACGAATCAGGCTATTTTGCACTACTAGTAAGTATTCTNCCACCATACGCATTACTTTATCCTCTGTCACAGCCACAGCCACAGCCACGAATCAGGCTATTTTGCACTACTAGTAAGTATTCTTATTTAGCTAAATTTCTTTTTTTGAAAAGGCTTTTCAGCTAATTTCAATGAATGTTTCATACACGTTTGGGCTGGGATAAAATATATAGGTTAGTGGTATTTTTTGTCGGTTTAATTTTTATTGTATCAATTTGATTTTTAAAATATTCAATTCATGTTATTTTGATCATTACATAAACGGACCGTTAAATTTTTAACGGAACGATCACGTGTTGAACATGTCATCCGGTCTAAAAAATGACACGTGGTCATTTTCGCAAAAAAACTTAATGATCCGTTTATGTAGGGACCAAAATGACACGGATTGAATATTTTAGAGATCAAATTGATAAAATTAATACAATAAAGACTAAATTCATAAAAAAAATTCATACTTCATAGACAAAAAATACTATTAATCTATAATTTATTGTCTACATCCGATGACTAATTGCATCGATCGATCAGAATTCCTTTTACAAGACTCGATTTTAAGACCTTGAATCATAGTTATGTATTTCTTTGTGACAGTATGTTTGGATAATGTTGTACATGTTATTCTGTTCATGTGGAAGCATGAAAATGTTGGCAGCCTTCAATATTCTGTGGATTGCCAAAGTTGTTTATGCCGTCAATATGAATTTTATTTCATATGCTGAATAAGTTAGCTTTCTACCAGTCACCAGGTAGATGCCATAGTCAACATCAAAACAGAAGGTAAAAATTTCGCATTTTTTTTTTGGGGTGTGTTTTTTATGCCTCGGCTTATTCAAGGGACTGGCCTCGTCAACCCCAAATCAAATGGTAGCGATTACAGGTGGCAAATGGGTGGGTTGAGTTGGTTATGGGTCGGGTTAAATTAGATTGGACTAAAATAAATTTAATTCATTTTTCACTTATGTAATAAATGGGTTATAATGGATTGAGTTTATAACGGGTTGGGTTAAACCGATTAACCTATAAAATAATTAAAATTCTTAATGAACACATTAGTAGATCAACACACACACACATTAATAGTACATCAAAATATAAACATATAAACACACACTAATATACCAAAACACACACAAATTAATACACTAATACACCAAAAATATAAACACATATACTAACACAAAAATTACAATACATTTAATAAAAAAAATAAACAAATAATTGGTCGGGGTAATTATGGGCTATGGATCAACCCATAGGGGTCGCGGGTTGATCCATGGGTTGTAAGGGGCCATGGCATGGGTCGACTCACGGGTCGTGGGTTGACCCCGTGGGTCATGGGTGGTGTATTAGTGTGTATTTTTTTTGTTCTAGCGTGTGTATATTTTGGTGTATTAGTGTGTATGTGTGTATTTTTGGTGTAATAGTATATTTATTTAATTTTATTACTTGTATTATTTAATAAAAAGATAAATACTCAACCCAATAGGTACCCATTTATAATTCATATTAACCCGCTTAATTAAAATAAATGATATTATCCAATCCATTTAGAACCCATATTAATTAATATAGGTATCCAACCCATTAATATATGAGCGGATTAATGGGTAATGAGTTAAAATTACCACCTGTAGAAGCGATTAATGTTATCGGGTTTTAAAATTTTAATTTAATTTATTGATCTAATAATGTGTCAAGTGATAGAATTTTAGTCAAAAAGTTTAATATTTACAATTACAATAATTATATTAAATCATATCACTCTTATATCATTACCCCAATAAATTAAATAAATTTTTTAGATGGTTTTTTCTACGTGGAAAGAACATCACGAAGGCAGAAGGCAAAAACCGGAGCCTGGATAGGGATGTTTAAGTTACCTACTTGTTATTCTCCGAAGGATAATAATATCATTGATCTTGATGGTTAAAATAAAAAAGATAAGCCACATCAGAGAGATCCAACCAAAAAAACAGCCATTTCCTACATGACAACAAGAAAGAAATAAAGTAATCCACCAATACCAGGTCAGATTTTTAGCCTAGTATGTGAAAATCTTTTAATAATTAGGGTGACGATAAGATTTAAACACAGAATCTCTTGTTATGCTATCATGTTAAACAATCATCAATTCCAAAAATTTAAACTATTGAAGAGAGTATATATAACTTAAATATTTATATTTTATCACTCAACATTCCAACTTAGCCACGAACAAACTGCTAAAGCAACAAGACAGGTAGCTGGTCAGGAAATCCAGTAATTGATCCCCATCATAGTTGTTGATCGAGATGAGAATGCCACATGAACTGACTTATGAATAAACCAAAGAATACTACAGCCTACGTATACATATGATCAGGGGTCAAGGTCAATCGAACATGAGCCAACACCGCTAAATGACAGTTTTCAAAGATAAAAGAGGTAGGGCTACACGGTAATTATGAAGTTTGGGGAGAAAACAGCCCCCCTTAGACTAGAGCATAATAGTTCATTGATCTAGCGCACTTTGTGTCAGATGAGTTTAGTTACAACCTTAACATGGTACCCAGCCTTGACAACCCAGTAAGGACATCTGTTCATGTTCTGGATGGGCATGGTATGGCTTTTTTAGGTGAGGAGGGATGTTTCATTTTTGGGTTAATATGAGTGTGGTTGTTCTGTATCTGAGATTAGTGCATGAATCTGTGTATCACATCGAAGTTATCATGAAAAAGGGGACTGATTCCTTGCATGTAGTAAGTTTACATGTGAGGATAAAGAAGAATATATTGATTCTTTTCCCATCAAACAAAATTTTTAGATTAAGTAAACTTGGCTGGATGTCACAACATATCCAATCACAAGAAACTTTTTCTTTTCCCTTTCATGGAAAACTATGAAGTAGACAGTAAAATGTTAAAAAATGGGTGACAAATGCTAACTGTGTGGTAATTTTTGCACAATAACTAAATAGACAGATTTTTAGCTGGATGAACTCGAGATTATCTGAAAAGTTGGTGGTCTTGTAGCAAATGGATGTGAGAGATTGCATAAGGAGTGGTGATGAATTAATTTTTCAGCTGTCTGCGTGATTCCATCATGTTAAGAAGGATTCTGCCACTCAAAAAATAGAGTTAGAAAGGCATCAGAGTGTTTCCGGCGTGACTTGTAATGCTCGTTTCTGGGATGCGTTACTTGATTAAATCAATAAATCACAATAAACTACAAATATTTTCAAATACAGAGACGAAACTGTAATTGTCTCAATAAATTTATAATCACAATTTTGATCTCGAAATACCAATAAAAGTTAAAAATTATAGCAAGATTTGTTCATATTCGATTTCTCAAATATCAACTTTGATCATTTCATCTGAGATTATCCTAAAAAAATATTAAACGCGGAGAAGTATACAATATGACATGAAATAATATGTTCAACGAGAAAAATATGAATGACTAAATACTAAATAATTCAGATGATAAGAATCATGGAAAACGAAATCAAGAATCACATTCGACAGACCAAATAGCTCAATTGCTATCAAATATAACCTCATACTCGGTTTCTCTTGGTGACATGACAAATGATACTTGAGCATATAAATCCATACTTATAATATCTAATCACACCCCGTAGGGCTATAATCACAATCGCACCCCGCAGGGGCCTAATCACATTTCACCAAGTATGTCTCAAATATACTTCGTACATGTACCAATCAATTTCAAAGTATTTAAGCCAAAACATAAGTCAACCAATAAAAATATCAGAATTTCGTATCAATCAGAATAATCAATAGGAATACAAATTTCAGATAATCAAATA